TAAGCTAATTAAAATTAGATTATGAAACCATAATATGCAAATTTTACCACCTTGCAAACAGTGTTTAAGTTTCAGATAAAGACATCGTGTTTGCCTTGGGAGTAACTAAAAGCGTATGTTCAACTCAGTCATTTTCAATATGGTCCCAAGGACGAGAAATCACGTGCAGTTTTAGTCATAAGCGTTTTACGGCAACACAAACAGGTCATATTAGTGCAGAAGACTAGAGGTGTTACCGGAGAGGAACACACGAAGAAGAAAGGGGGAGAAGAAGTATTTAATAGGAAAGAAGGAGCAAACCACAACCGAGCACCCGTCAACCACCCACTTATTTTCTTCACAGACTGACAACAGAGACGTGACGACCCATATTCCAAAGTGTCCAATCGGTGATTATTGTATGGACAGTCCGGCAGTGAGACACGATCTGTACGGCTAGAAGTTAGAGGTGGGCAAAATCCGGATAAATATCCGGATAATCGGATAATCCTCAATAAGACATTATCCGAATTCAGACTCTACCTCTTTTTCCTGACCCGTTTGCCGAAGTGGGTCCTCCCATTTGTTTTTGTTTTTTTTGTGTGTTTTTTGTAAAGTGTTTTACGGCGCTCGCAACTGCATAAGGCCATATGAGCGCGCGGGACACTCCTAATATTTTCAGTTGGTAGGAAATTTTGAATTTTGCCCGGGTGGCGGCCGAAGTCTACTCTTATCGATTTTAGACCACCAAGGGATCTTTAACGTGCGCAACTTGTATACAGGCCCTCCGAGATTTTTCGCCATTGTCCGAGAAGGCTAGGTGTAGATCTTTCCTACCAGAAGATCAGGGGTGTGGCAGAAAGACAGCAGTAAGGAGGAGCTAAGGAGTAGCAGTAGAAAGGCTGCAGAAAGAGTCAGGAGCCCAGAGGACGGGGCAAAGGAGGTGAGGGGGTGGGGGCAGAAAGTGGAAATGAAAGCAGTCAACAGAACATTGCTAGAGAGCAGGAAAGGAGGTGAAAGGAGACGATTTTAGAGAAGAAAATGTTTCGGTCGTTACCCGGATTCGAACCGGGACCTTTGAATGAGAGGCCAACACCTTAACCTCTAGGCCACGAGAGCCCCCCCCCCCCCCCCACCTCCCATTTGTTGGAGTGATGCTAATCCTTAGTCAAAGTGGTTCTAACCCATTTGCCGAACCGGTTCAGAACGTATTTACCGAAGAGGTGCACTAACATTTTATCAGGATTTTGCTAAAAGAACTCATTGCCCAGCCCTAGTAGAAATCATAGTGGACGTACTGTCGAACGAACGAATCTTTACCCGCAGGCTACTTTCGAACGACAACTTTTTCTACGATGTAATTTCGTTTTCAACCCCAGTAGTGTATACTGTTTCCGATTCTTGGTATTGCTGTGTGACAACGAACATTTAGAAACTTTAGATCAAAGGACTGAGAACAATAGGTTCGTTGTTTAAGGGCCATAGTCACTTGTCACTATCATCATGGCCGTGTTTGTCCTCGTCGCAACAGGCTTATATACAATAAAATAAGATAAGGTAATACTTTATTGTCTCAGAGGGACATTTTTCTTAGCTGTACAGGACAGTAAAAACACTTGCAGGTATACATGGAAATTATATTATATATTATTACTCTCATTAAAATTCAATATAAAAAGAAAAGTAAAACTGACAGTAATGTACATACCACATCAGATTCATCATTCGACCACATGCCGAAATATATCGCAAGACCTTTACAGATATACAGATACACATAATATATAATATTGCAAACAGCAATACACATTGGTGTTTATACTGACAGTAGCCTTAAACTAGATGGTAAGAAACTTCTTTTGTATCTTTCTTTCTTTGCTCCACCGATCTCTTCTTTGATGCATTATTTACCTATGAAATTGTAGACGGGCGTCGAATGCACACCAAAAAAAAAATTCGAGACGAATTGTTATAAAGAGCCATTTTTGAAGACCGGACAACAGGGTCTGTGGTGCAGCGGTTAGGCGCTTCGCTGCCCACGCGGGAGAGCCGAGATCGATTCCTGAGTAGGGACAATGAGTCTACATAACAAGAGGGGCCACTTCTCTCTTTGAGCCAATTAAAAAAGTGTCCTCAAAATTCGGTGACGTCCTCTCCGCAAAAGCGCACCTTTTGCGAACAGAGTTATCCTACTTGAGTTTTTAAAAAATCAAAGTGAAACTAGCAAGTTTTTTAATGAATTTCGGAAGAACGCTTTTTAAAAATGGTTACGCTGACAAAAAACCTCCTCCGGAGGAAAGGGTGATTGTTTTCTTCGTTTAATTTGACTTTAGAATGAAAGGCGAGAGGTCATTAAAATATAAATAACCTAAAACTCCGCACTGAACGAACCCGAACTGCTGATGAACAGCAGTCGATCTGCGCACGCAAGGAGGTGCTATTCCTATTCTTCTTCTGGAAAAACGAAAGAGAGCTTCAAAACAGACTGCAGCGCCATCTGAAGCAAAGAGCATACTTCCTGCGGACACTTTTTTGGCTGAGTGGCCCATCTTGTTATTTACTATCTTTGGTAGGGAAAACTTCTTATCGAGTATCTGAACGGTCCCTCTGAGCCCGGGTTGGCCCTGGCAGGCAGGGTCGGCAGCCTGTCTCCTAAATAATTTAAATTGCGTTGATGCTGGCGTAAAAACACCTGCATTTAAAGAAAAACCGGACAGAAGGTCAGGCTCTAGGCGTGCTCATCAGAGACGTGTCAATGTACGAGCAAACTGAATGTGAAATGAAGCATGATTGTATGCTTTAAGCCCCCACAGAGGCAAGTTAAATAATTTCAGAGGTAGACTGCTTCGACCCTGCCGTCAGAACAAACATAGGCCACTTAGGATACCACATCTGAGCGGAAAGACAGGGATAAGGACTTCCGTAACGAGCGACCACCCCAGCCTACTCAATAAAGAAGGGACTTTTGAGTGGGATATGTAAAAGATAGGGTTTAGTATTTGGTTGGGCAATAAAGAAAGTAAAGAAAGTTACTTTGTATTCCTATTGCCTTCCTTTGTCTCTTCACCTGGAATGGGTATTATTAGTGACATGTTAACATCTCAAAGCATACACAATAATATGAC